GTCGGCCTTCCCGGCGTGGACAGGCCCGCGGGCTGCTGCGTCCTCGAGGCGCGTCCCCCGGCGTCCTGGCCTCGGTCGTTTCTGCGGGAAGGGCACTGACCGCGCGCCGGCGGGACTGGCCGAGCCCGGCAGCTTGCCTAGAGCTCGGTTCCCCCGCCGTCACCGGGGTGCGACCTGCGGCCCCGTCTCCGCCGTGAGCCGTGCCCAGTGGCGTGTCTGCGGTGGCTGTCCCCGAGGGCCGTCAGGGCGGAGTGCCGGAGGCGGCAGGGAGCTGCTGGGCCTCGCCGAGGCTTCTGGAACCGTCGACAGACAGAATCCAGCAGTTGAAGTGGGTTTGCGCAGAACCCGGTGGGAGGCAGCCCGGGCCCACAGTGTGGGCCAGGAGCCGAGGCCCCGGGTGCTCGCCGGGACAAAGCGGCAGCGGCACAGAGAGGGGTCGTCAGGGAGACCCGACTGCAAGCCCAGCTTCTGCCAAGGTCACCACTGACATGACCGGGCCACTGTGCTGAGCGGGGGTCTTTGAAGTGAATGGCAAATTCTCGGGGAGAAGATGGGACCTGCCAAGAAATTCTTATGACCCGTGGTTCTATGAAGCAGGGCCACCTAGTGATGGAGAGGGAGATCTCTGGGCAGAGATGGCCTTGGGGTGCAGCAGGCTCCCTGTCCTTCATGGTCCCATGCCTAACCCGACTGGAACTCAGGCAATCAGTGGTCCTGCTTACCCACAGGACCGAGGCGGGCATGGCCGGGAAAGGGGTGGCTGGTCACTGCAAGGCCAAGTAGCACTTTGCTGGGTCGAGTCAAAGGAAATGAGAATGTACCTTTTCCTTTCTGAGTTTTTTTTTTGGCTGGGAACAAGATGAACCAGAAGAGCTGGAGATGAGTTTGTTTTTAAGAGTCCTTGCAGCAGCCTGAGGAAAAGACCAGACTCAGTGTTAGGTAAATCTGCCTGAAACCACAGTTCAGACCTCCAGCTCCCTGCTGGCACGGAGAGCAAGAGAACAAGTGGCCAGCTGTGGTAGATAGGTGTGCACTGGGGAAGAGCATTCTCAGGTCTGTGTTAGCTCTGTTCTCAGGATGGGATTCCCATTTCACTTGAATGTTCTGTGAAAGTCTGTGTGTGCTGTGGGTTTGTTTGTTTGTTTTGAGACACTTTGTTGCCCTGCCCAGCTCTGAACTCCTAGGCTCCAATGATCTTCCTTCCTTAGTTTCCTGAGCCGCTGGAATGGTAGGTACATATTGTGGCCAACATTTTTTGGTCAGCTTTTCTTTATTTCCCTTTAGGCAATTGAAGATGAAGGTGGTAATCCTGATGAAATTGAAATTACCTCTGAAGGAAGCAAGAAAACACCAAAAAGATCCAGCAAAGGTACCAAGGACTTATACATGAGTGCTGTTTCTTGCTTATTTGGTTGTGATTTTGGACCTGTGACAATCAAGAATCCTTTGGGGGACCTTTGCCTTGTCATTCAAGTTCTATTTCCCACAGTACCTGGGAATTCTAGCAGAGGGTTTACCTTGTTTTTGGATTTGTCAGTAGCCCTTGTTTAACCAAACCTTTTTTGTGGGGTGGTGGATACCTTCATGTTGAATCCAGGGAGCTTTACTACTGAAATATATCCTCAACCCTTTTTGTGTTTTAATTTCGAGACAGGGTCTTGCTAGATTGCTTAGGTCCTCGTTAAATTGCTGAGGCTGCTCTCAAACTTGAGATCTTCCTGCCTCAGCCTCCTGAGGTGCTGGGATTATAGGTGTGCCCTACTGTAACTGGCCAAATAGAGTATTTAGGTTGCTTGGGTCTCCTGTTGCTCTAACTTGCAAGAATGTACTGTTTCTTTGAATACCACCTGACCAATAAAGAACGGTCACATTTCTTTCAAAAACTGCCTGTAAGATGAAAGCCAGGTTCACAGAACATTAACCTTCATCATCTGATCCGTTTTTTCCCACTTCCTCTCTCCCTTCTATTCACTCTTGGCCCTCTGGACCTTGGTTTTCTTGTCTCACCCGCCTCTCTTTCCTATCTCTCTGTGTTCAGGGCCTTGTTCATCCAGAGACGGCTTCTGATCTCATTGATAGCTCACCTCAGGTCCTCTGCACTCCCTTAGCCTAATTCCCTTGAACCTTGTTCAGTGTTTAGTATCCTGCTTTTGTGTCGTGACTAGATTTTTTAGGATGGGAAGATTTTTGCCTTGTCTTCTTTTCCCTTGGTAGTTTGTCTTCGTATTTTGAAAGAATCATCTAAAGCTATGCATTTGGGCTTCTTCAATTATCTTTTGATAATTGAAGGCCGTGGTGTTCAGACCTCAAACCTAAATACTGCTGTGTACCTGCCAGTCACAAGGAATGGGGTTTGAAGTGTCCCAGAGACAGGCCCAGTGTCCACCATATTTTGGGAGATAGGTTCTGGGAGAGCAGCCCCAGTGATCTCACTCAAAATGAAGTCACTTGAGTACGTTTTGCATTTTTGGCTTTGCCCAAATAAACGTCTGTGTAGAGGAAAAGATTGCTAGAGGGTCGACATGCCTGTGGGCCTCCTTTTTTATTTCTTTTCCATTTAGTTAAAAAAAAAATGCTTTTGGGCTGGGCTGGGGCTCAGTGGTAGAGCCACTTGCCTAGCATGTGTAAGACACTGGGTTTGATTTTTAGCACCACATGTAAATAAATGAGTAAAATCAAGGTCCATCAACATCCAAAAAGATTTAAAAAAAGAAATGGTTTTGCTAAAGTTTTATAAAATACATGTATTTATGTCTGGTGCAGTGGCCCACTCCTTTAATCCCAGCAGCTGGAAGGCTGAGGAAGGAGGATCCCGAGTTCAAAGCCAGCCTCACAAAAGTGAGGCATCAAGCAACTCAGTGAGACTTTATTGCTAAATAAATACAAAAAAGGACTGGAGATGTGGCTCAGTGGTGAGTGCCCCTGAGTTCTGTTTCCTGTGCCCTCCAGCCCCCATTCCCCCCAAAACCCAAAATATGCATTTAAGTAAAAATGAGAACTTCTTCCCAGTCAGGTAGCCACTCAGTGGTAAAAATTGGGGCATAATGTCCAGATATTCTGTGTGTATTCTGTCATTTAAAAGTAGACATGCGAATGGACACGTACTTGTATGTACTTATTTCTCTTTAAAAAATTTTAGTCGTGCGGCTGGGGTTGTGGCTCAGTGGTAGAGTGCTCGCCTAGCACTTTCGAGGCTCAGTTCAATCCTCAGTACCAAATAAAAATGAGTAAAATAAAGGTATTTAAAACATTTTTTTAGTCTTTTTATTCAAAATTCTCTATAATTTGCTTTTTTCACTCAATATGGTAAGGACAAAAGGAAAGTGATCAGGCCTTGTCCTTTTATAACACCCTAACAGTAATTTTCCACATCAATGTATTATGATTTGCCTTATTAACTCTCCTTACTATTAGTCTGTTGAGGGCTTTCTTTGTTCTCAGTTTTCATTGTTGTCACAAATCAGAAATACCTCTTTGAAGTTAAGATAATTTTTTGTTTTGTTTGTTGAGTTGAGGTCCTGCTGTGTTGCCTAGACTGGTCTTGAACCCCTGGGCTAAAGTGATCCTCTGGACTCAGCCTCCCAAATAGCTGGAACTTCAGGCACGTACCACTGTGCCTGGAAAAGGAAGATATTTTTTGATAAGTAAAAGAAGTTTGAGGTTAAAGGGTATGATGTTTTAGTTTGAAATAGCTATTAGAAAAATAGTTTTCCAGCAGGCTGTACTATTAATGTCCCTACAAATAGTAGATGAGAGTACCTGTTTGTTTCTTTTTTCTTAATATTTATTTTATTTCTTAGTTTTAGGTGGACACAATATCTTTATTTTACATGTATGTGGTTCTGAGGATCGAACTCAGTGCCTCATGCATGCTAGTCGAGCACTCTACCACTGAGCCACAACCCCAGCCCCTTTTTTTTTTTTTTAATTTATTTTTTAGGTGTAGATGGACACGACACAATGCCTTTTTTTTTTTTATGTGGTGCTGAGGGTCAAACCCAGGTTCCGCCAGTGCGAGGCGAGCGCTCTACCACTGAGTCACAATCCCAGCCCCAAGAGTACCCTTTTTTTTTTTTTTTTAAGAGAGAGAACTTTTTAATATTTACTTCTTAATTTTCGGTGGACACCACATTTTTATTTTTTATGTGGTTCTGAGGATCAAACCCAACGACCCGCGCATGCTAGGCCAGTGCACTAGCACTTGAGCCACATCCCCAGCCTGAGTATCTATTTCTTTAAACTACAACCCAACACTGAACATTTGTGCTTTTTCTTTAATTGTTGATGGACCTTTTTTTTTTTTTTTTTAAAGAGAGTGAGGGGGACGAGAGAGAATTTTAACATTTATTTATTTTTTCTTAGTTCTCGGCGGACACAACATCTTCGTTTGTATGTGGTACTGAGGATCGAACCCGGGCCGCACGCACGCTAAGCGAGCGCGCTACCGCTTGAGTCACATCCCCAGCCCCTGTTGATGGACCTTTATTTTATGCATTTATTGATATGTGGTGCTGAGAATCAAACCTGTATGTGCTAGGCAAGCACTGTACCTCTGAGCCACAACCCCAGCCTCTATTTGTTTGTATTTTTAAAAGTTACCTTTTACGCCAGGCACAGTGGTGCATGCCTGTAATCCTAGCAGCTTGGGAGGCTAAGGCTAGAGGATCACAAATTCAGGGCCAGCCTCAGTAACTTGGCAAGGCCCTGTTTATGAATAAAATATAAAAAAGGGCTGAGGATGTGGCTCAGTAGTTGAGCGCCCCAGGTTCCCTGTCCTTTCCAAAAAAAACAAAAAAAAGTTACCTGTTATTAGGATAAAAGTATTTTTTATATTCATCTCCTCCTCTCTGCAGATAAAATTTTAAGTCTGTCATTTGACTTAACTTGTTTGTGGTGTTTTGGTCATTAAAGAGTTAATCTTTCACGTGGACAATGTTGTCAACCTGTGCCTATATGGCAGATTTCATTGTGGTTTGAAAGGTTCTACCTGGCTTTAAAATTATATTTTTAAAAAGTTACCTTATAGAGTAACATTTATGGTTTCTTTTGGGTATTTAATTCATTTAGAATTTGTTTTTGCATGTGGTGTGAGGTGGTAAGTAGGAATCAAAACATGAAGCATTTCTGGCATCAGAAAGATAGCTCCTTCCCAGTCTCCCACTCCACCCACCACCCCAGCAATAACAGAACATCATTTTCACCACAGATTAGTTTTGCCTGTTTTATTTCATGTAAAATGGAACCATGCAATACTGTTCTTAACCCTGCGTCCCCTCAGTGGGGTTTATTCTGGAATTCTACAGTACATTTGACATTTGACAGGGCAGGTCTGAAAGTTTTCATAAAGATTTGAACTGAATATACAGTAATCTGTTTAATAAATTAACTCAAAAAGTTTGAAATTCTGGGAGGTATATTTCAAGTAATCTCAGCAGTTCTCCAAAATAGTTTTATACCCATAATATATTTAGCAGAATATTAATTTATCAGTAAATTTCTTTTAACAGCATTATCACAAAGTTCAAATTAATAATGTCGTGGTGGTTGAGAATATAGCTGGACATGTAAAGCTAGATTGTTTGCTTTTTAAGTGTTTCCTAATCCTGTGCTTTGCTGGATTGTTTTTTGTTTGGGTTGTTTTGACATTTTCATACTCATAGAAAAGTTACAAAAATAGAGGAATTCCCAGTTATCGTTCACCCAGGTTCCCTGAAGGGGATGTGTGCATTTAGTACGGCTGCTTTACAGCACCCCTCTTAGCTGTGTGATAACAAGTGGCCCCTTTAACCTGCGTACTACAGTATTTCCTTAAAAAAAAAAAAAAAATGTTGCATAACCATAGTCTTCAGAATGAAGATATTACCATTGGGCTGGGGTATAGCTCCGTAGTAGCGCACTTGCCTAGGCAGCCAGAATCCCCATATATGTGAATACATATACACACAGCATTTTAAAATAATAAGCAAAAGCACACACCTGCAATCCCAGTGGCTCCGAAGGCTGAGACAGGAGGATCGAAAGTTCAAAGCCAGCTTCACATAAATGAGGCGCTGAGCAATTCAGTGTGACCCTGTCTCTAAATAAAATAAAATATAGGGCTAGGGTGTGGCTAATTGAGTGCCCCCCCTTTCGATCTTGGGCAACCAAAAAAACAAATAAAAAGAAGCAATCAAGAGATGTGACCTAAATAACTTGAGAAAGATTTCATAGATTAGATGATTTCATATCAAAAAATTGTCATTTTCCCCCAGAGTAACCTTAAAAGGTACAGATTTGTCCTAAAATTAATGTAAAAAGAAAATACACCAGAATAACTAAAACTCTGGTGGGGGGAACAGTGAAGAGAGCTTGCTTTAACTTTATTTTTATTTTTTTTTAAATTTTTTTAAATTTTATTTTATTTTTTTATTGGTTGTTCACAACATTACAAAGCTCTTGACATATCGTATTTCATACAATAGATTGAAGAGGGTTATGAACTCCCAATTTTACCCCAAATGCAGATTGCAGAATCTCGTCGGTTACACATCCACAATTTTACATAATGCCCAATTAGTAATTGTTGTATTCTGCTACCTTTCCTATCCCCTACTATCCCCCCTCCCCTTCCCTCACATCTTCTCTCTCTACCCCATCAACTGTAATTCATTTCTCTCCTTGTTTATTTTCCCATTCCCCTCACAACCTCTTATATGTAATTTTGTATAGCAATGAGGGTCTCCCTTAATTTCCATGCTTGCTTTAACTTTAATGATAGGATTTTGTAAACAGTGGACAGAAAGTTTGAAGATTTGCAATTTAAAAGCATTTTTATAGTAAATGACGCCGAAACAATTAACTGACTGATAGTGGGGAAAATTGCTTTTCTCATATCTTTTCATGCAAAATATGAATTCTAGCTAAATATGGAAGTCCCAAAGTGAGACTAAAATTGGGGAAAATTTGCTTATGTAAAAGTTTTAAATCTTGGGCTGGAGTTGTGGCTCAGTGGCAGAGCACTTACCTAGCATGTGTGAGGCACTGGGTTCCATCCTTAGAACCACATAAAAATAAACAAATAAAATAAAGGTATTAAAAAAAGTTTTAAGTCTCTGTTAACAGAAAAAACAACGAATGATATATGAGAGACAAAATATGGTGAGGAATTGTGTTCCTCGCAACTAAAACACTCCGGGTCACTCCAGGTGAACTGGGCAGCACAAAATAACCACACAAGAGACAGAGACCTTTTTCTTTGGGTCCTGTGATGGCTCCCCTGACCTTAAGGGTCCACAGAAAGAGAGCGAGCCAGTGCTTGCTGAACCCTTTTATTGAGAAGCCATTCAAATGAGGCTGGGGTCAGGATGGGGCTGGGGGCTGAGTCTAGCTCCGGGATGTCTGCTGACAGCAGGTTGACTGACATCTAGGAAGGCCACACCCAAGGGCAGAGCAAGAGAAGGGGACACACAAAGGGCGTTTCTGTGGAACATTCTATCCCAAACAGGGCAAGGGGGTAACATCACAAAGGAACAGGTGAGCGTAGCTCAATCCATGGGGCTGAAGATGGGGTCCTCAACCTCCAGGACCTGGGCAGTGTCCAGGTAACTATGAGATGTAGCGATGGTCAGAGCCTCTCCGCTCAGGAAGGAGAATGCAAATCATTCAGACTGGCTCCCCACAAGGAATACACAAAAGTATGCTGTCCAGAGAACATTAAATATTCTCACAAATCAGTAAGAAAGATAAAATCCAGTTAACAAAAGGAAAAGATAAAATCCAATTAACTGTATAGGCAGTTCACAGAAAACAAATTGGTGGCACATGCCTTTCAATCCAGCTACTTGAGAGGCTGAGGCAGGAGGATCATAAGTTTGAGGCCAGCCTCGGGAAACCTTCATTTCAAAATAAGATTTAAAAAAATAATAATAAAGAATAAGGAGTGGTAGTGTGGCTTAGTGGTAGAATGCTCTTGAGTTTAATCCCCAGTACCACACATGCAAAAAAGAGGAAAGAAAGGAAAAGAAAACATGATTCATGTACAAAGATGAGTGCATCTTTAATAACATTGGAATAGGGATATGGCTTAGTGGTAGAGCACTTGCCTAGCATGTATAAGGACCTGGGTTTCATCCTCTGTAAGTGGGAAGAGGGAAATAGAATCTTTTGTTATTGAAGTGAGTTATGATAATATTCATATAATTGCAAAATGTATTTGTAATCAGAAACATTCTGTGGGCTAAAGTTCTGGCTCAATGGTTAATGCTCAAGACCCTGTATTGATCAACAGAAAGAGTGAGCATGTGCTGCACCCTTTTATGTAGTTGGACATGTAAAGCTAGATTGTTTGCTTTTTAAATAATTCTATTTTTTTTTTTTTTTTAATAAAGCTTGTTTCTTTGAGGTTAAGAATTTCCTTACAGCCAGGTGCGGTGGCAGCTGGGGAGGCTGGGGCAGGGAGGATTGTGAGTTCAGCAACTTAGTGAGGCTCTAAGCAACTTAGTGAGACCCCATCTCTAAATGAAATATTAAAAAAGGCTGGGATATGGCTCAGTGGTTGAGTACCCTTGGGTTTGGTCTGGTCCTCAGTACCCCCTCCCAAAAAAAAAGTTACAGACATTCTTTTTTTGCCTAGCATAAAAGATTTGCCCTTTAACTTTTTACCCAGCTGTGGGAACCTGTATGTCAGTAGGTCTAACATCAGAGCTAACTGTAGGTGCTGGAGTTACTAATATTCATCATTTTGTTTATTTATGTTTTGCTCTGTATCATTGTTTCTCTGAGGAATATGCTGTGTGTTGCTTGACTAAAAAGCAGCACATTTTTTCCAGATGCTCTTCTCACAAACAGCCACTTAGGACAGGTCTAATCTGCCTTGGCCTTAGTGAGAACCTATTTCCACACCTCCTGCTCACAGCCAACTAAGAGCAGAGCCTCTGCTCTTACCCTGAAGATGGCGTGTGGCCCCCTTTCTCAGAGTGCCCTTCCAGGCCTGCATGTTGCAGTGTTTCTAAACCAGGAAGTGCCTTAGGCGTTGGAGATGGCTACTTCGATGGTGTTCGGGGGCTTATACACATAAAAGTCATGCTTCTGGAAAATGCAGCTCATTGATCTTTTGTAAATGGTTCTCTCATTAGGGCGTAAACCAGAAGAAGAGGGTGTGGAAGATAACGGGCTCGAGGAGAATTCTGGGGACGGACAGGTATGTGCAGCCTTAGGAGCAGATACACTTAGTGGATGAGCCGGGGGCCAGTCACATAATGGTTTTTATTTTGTTTTGTCACAGGAAGATGTGGAAACCAGTTTGGAGAACTTGCAGGACATAGACATGATGGATATCAGTGTGTTAGATGAAGCAGAAATTGATAATGGAAGTGTTGCAGATTGTGTGGAGGAGGAAGATGCTGACAACCTCCCAGAGTCCCTTTCTGACAGCAGAGAGTTGGTCGAGGGAGAAATGAAAGAGCTTCCGGAGCAGCTTCAAGAACATGCTGTAGGTAACTCGGCAGTGTCCCTGGAATGTACCCTGAATGCCATCCATAGGTACATGGTAGATGATAAACGTTATGATTGGAATGAAGTTCTTATAATGCCAGTACTATAGGATAATGGTTCCGGTAATTCTGAAAACACTTTGTTGGAAAGTGGAATCTCATAAAGTACCTAAGTACATACTGTCCACTCATGTGGTGCAGCATGAAGCATTGAGGAAGGCTGTTCAGGTCTTTCCTATTATAGGAAGTTGCTCTGTGGTGTTAGTATTTTCAAAGCATCCCAGTACTGAAATGAAATATTGGAATTCCAACAGTTGATCTTTAATAATAACCTCGACATTATGTTTGAAGCCTCAGCTTTTTTCATGTCAGAAACAGTCAATTGTGGTAAGATGTTACTGGTGGTGTTCCTTGAACTCCACCTGCCAGGCAGTAGACATTGTGTCCTGTGAGCCTTCCACAATGTGCCGTGTAGACACTGTTGCCCCTGCTTGTCAGTTGAGGGAATTGGGGCATAAGGAAGTAAGGAATATCACCAGATAGCCCACAGCTCATACTAGAGTAAGAACCGGACCAGGCCAGTCCCAGTGTCCATATAGTTAAGTCAGATACCACCTTGTCTTAGTGTCATCACTTGTTTGTTAATTGGGGGGTGACTTGTGGCCTTTGGATGTGTGGTTTGTGGGAGGCCTCATCCCTTCAGCGGCCTGCTGACTGTGACACGTGCACCCTGTTCTGTGCCTGTCAGTGGGCACGTCCTCCTGGAACCAGTTAACCCTGTCTTGGGAGGTAGCATATTATTGTTGAATAGGGGGTTTGATAACAAATTGTTTTTCTGTGTGTGTGTGTGTGTCTTATTCTTCAGCTTCCTAAAAAGGAATAGCAGAAACACTTGCGTAGTGGTGAGCAGTAGATACCATTTATAATTGACTATATATTCTTAAAGCTCTTTTCTTCCCCTACTAAGTAGAAAATAACACATTGTGTAACAGTTGGAAACATCCTAAATTTCTGTCAGTAATGGCTAAATAATTTTGATTTAATGGGAACAATATAATTTGAGTTAAGAGCATTTACTTTGAATGTCTTATTGTTGTGTGACCTTGGATAAATTACTTAAAGTCCCTAGGTCTCAACTGCAAAAATAATAAGTTTTGGGAGGATTAAATGGATGAATGTTTACCACAACAGTAGAACGGAAATCATGAGCCTGTCCATCCATGAGTTTTTATAATGTTTGCTTAGAACACAGCCATATCTGTTATTGCTATTGTCATAGCTGCACACAGTAGGAAAGGTCGGTAGTCACAATAGAGCCCATCAGCCCTACAAAGCCCTGCTTGCTGCATGGTCCTAACAGAGGTTTGCCTGATCTAGACCAGCGCCTAGTACATAGCAAGCACCATAGAATTATGAAATTTTTTACAACCAGTAATGTGGTAATTGCTGTTGTGTAACCATCAAAGTGAACTAAAACAACCTCCAGGAGGGAAGGGAGAATTGGTACAGAATACTGTGCTGCCTTGCAAACGGAGGAAGGGGTGATCTTTGGTGCACAGGCACTGCGCTCAGTGTGTGTGTGTCTTGCATTTGGGGCAACAGTGCACTGAGGGAAGGAAGAAATGGACCCCGGGTGGTTTTTGATGTATAGCTTTTGTAGACCATTTGAGGTTTTTGATCATGGGAGAGTGTCTTTCCTAGTCAAACCAAGGTGATGATAACATATGCTCATATTTCAAAAATATTCACCTTAAAAATGAACCAACTTTCAGAGCTTTGGCAGATAGCCAAAATTATCTTTCTTCAAGCTAATCCCCCTTTCTGGGTGTGAGGAATCCCATGCCTTGCTGGGCAGAGCCCTCATCTAGAATAGAAACTCTCTGCTTCCAGTTATTTCCTTGCAGGTGGGCCATAGATCTGGGTCTTGTCTGCCCTGTGCTCCTATCCCCAATGCAGCTTGGGAAACCACTGCCTGGAGGCGGAGTAGTCAGAGGTGCTGTTCTATTCTGGGCCGGGGCTTCTGAGCACTTTTGGATTCTAGACACTATTTCTTGAAAAGCCAGCCAAAACTTGCTAGTGTGTGTTTTGCCCAGTTCTTTTTGTTTTGTTTTTAGAGAGAGAGAATTTTTTAATATTTATTTTTTAGTTCTCGGTGGACACATCTTTATCTTTTATTTTTATGTGGTGCTGAGGATTGAACCCAGCGCCCCGCGCATGCCAAGCGAGCGTGTTACCGCTTGAGCCACATCCCCATCCCCTGTTTTGCCCAGTTTTGATCTCTCCCATGTAGCCCAGGATATTTTCTTAGAGGCTTGCATCTCAAAATCCACGTTCATACTGTTTTAGTGGGTTTCCAGGTCTGTCTGGAGATGGATGTTTATGTCCAGCAATTTTTCTTTCTGGCCAGAATGCTATTGCGCTGTTTTAATCCCCTCACGGTTTTTACCATTTTGTAATAAATGATCTTCATGGCTGTTGCTTTTCATTGAACAGATACGCTGTTATATCACCTTATTGATGTAATAAATTGTGTTCTTCATTTGTTTCATAGGTAGATGACAAAGAAACCATAAACAATTTAGATTCATCATCATCTGACTTCACTATATTACAGGTAAATTGTTACATGTCTCCACTTTAGAATCAAAGATTAGGCCACAGTTTCTGGAAACCATCTGAGACATTGCATGGCAGTCCCAGCTAACAGTCATGACAAGGTTTGTTCCCTTTGACAGGGTCTTCAGCAGGGGTTTTGCTTTCTGTTATCCCCGACATAACAATGTGCCTGGTGCCAAGGATTTCCCAAGTTTGACTGGTTTCCTTGAAGCACTGTAGCTTATCAGCAGATAATTGAATGGCATATTTTTTGGCATTCTTGTTACAGGTTGAACATCTCTCGTCTAAAATGTTTGGGACCAGAAGTATTTTGGACCTCGGGTTTTGGAATATTTGCAGATGCACAATGAGTTGTCTTGGGGATGGAATCTTAATTCTAAACACAAAATTCCTTTGTTGCTGTTGTTGCATCTTATATACTTGGCCTGAAGGGCACTTATATACTCTTCGCAGCATGCCTGTATTTAAATTGCAACCTGCCACAAGTCAGGTGTGGCGTGTTTCTCCTGTAGTGTCAATGTTCGCTGCCCCAAGTTTCAGATTTAGAGCAGTTTGGATTAGAGATGCTCAGCCTGTAATTTCATTGCTCAGGGAAGGGCAGTCTGGCTGAGCCCCATCTGGATGCATCCCCTGCAGAAAGATGAGTACTAGGTGAGACAGCAGAGGGTGGAGCTCCCTGAGAAATACAAGCAGGGCACTGGTGAGGGCGTGAGGTGTGAGCAGATGATGCCACAGCTGGGCCTGTCCTTCAGGCGTTTTCTTGTAGAAACTGCCCACGTTTCTTTTGACTACTGTGTCAGCATCTGTGTGAGTACTGAATGTTGAACAAATCAGAAGAGAATTAATGGGTGGCTTTTGTAAACGTGAGTCTTGTTTCCTTGAATGTCTTTGCCAGCCTACCTAGGTGCCTGTCTAGTCTTAATAAAAGTTAGTGTCAGCTTTTGCTGATTCTCTTTTTTCCTTAATGTCACCTATGTGTTTAATTAGAAATCACCTTTCAGATGAGATCTCCATGTGCTTCTGCCAGGCAGAGGCGAGGGAGGTGTTGGAAAGCCAGAACTACAGCCTCAAGGAGGGTGCAGTCCTCAAGGAAATTGGGTGCAGCCCAGCTCATCTTTAGAGCTGATGTCGCTCCAGCTGCAAACTGACACAACCATTCCTGACTCAGGAAGGAGAGGAGGAACCGGATCTTGCCATTTTCTCTAGTGTCTTAGGTCAAAGGTTCCCTTGTTTAAGATGGAAAATATACAGTGTCTCCTAGAGATGAATACTTCTCTCTAAACAATGTTAAGAGGGGAATCATTCTGAGAGTGGTGATTCACTTCAGCTGTAGATAAAATCTTAATTCTCAATACTGAGTAGGTTACAGAGGCAGGTGAAAGCAAATCAAAAATAAATGAAGCCAGGCTGGGTACGGTGGTGCACGCCTGTAATCCCAGTGGCTCAGGAGGCTGAGGCAATAAGATCGCAAGTTCAAAGACAGCTTCAGCAACAGAGAGGCCCTAAGCAACTCAGACCTGTCTCTAAATAAAATATAAAATAGGGCTGGGGATGTGGCTCAGTGGTCGAGTGCCCCAGAGTTCAATTCCTGGTATCATCCCCCTGCCAAATGAAAACTGGAAGAAAGTGGACAGTTTCCTAGGCGTCACAGAATGGCAGGGCAGTTCTCCGTGGAAGGTACAGACACTCCAGCCACCACTGAGTGCTTGTGAAGCTCCTATGATGTGTCACATGCGGTGTTGGCCACCAGGGATAGGTGTGAATGAGCATAAGGACCATCCTCTGTGTACAGGGGCCTAGTCTCCCAGTGTGAAGTTCCCATGGCCCCAGGGTTGGAAAGAGGCCTGGACTGAGGGTTGGGAGGACAAATTCATGTTCACATAGACCTCATTCAGAGTCTGCTCTGTGTCCTTGGACAAATTACTCAGTCCCTCTGGGCTACTGTCTCCTAACCTTTGAAAAGAATGTTAGTGCAAATAGTACCAGCCTCCTAGGGCTTGCTGATGGCCAGCGTTTGTGTCTAAGGTGTTCACGATTGTGCCTGGAACCTTGTCAGCGCTCAGTGTGGTCTGGAGCTCCCAAGCAGAGTGTCCTGGGGACATGGGCCCTCAGTGGGCAGCAGCCAGACTCTGAGGTAGTGAGCCCTAAAGGAAACCTTTCTAGAGGAGGTGCCCCTGAGCCAAGCACAAAGGTGGGAGGTTGTGTGGGGAGCCTAAGGTTGGAGTTCACAGAGGGTTGAGAGCATGCCCCTTCTAAGCATGGTACAGATGGGGCAGGGCTTCCTGCAAGGCTTCCTGGGAAGGGTTGGGATTTTACTGATACCATAGATGACCTGGTGGGAAATTGAGGGAAGGAGGAGATAGAGGAGGGGTGAATGCTGGAGGGTGCTTCTGTGTCCCGCCCAGAGTGCAGGGTGGTACCACTACATGATATGACTGATGTCACTAAGTCTTGAGTTTTCAGAAAGCTAGATCTGGGTTAAATGAATGAAGTGATTGCCAGGCTCTCTGTTAGACATGAAAGGAAAATGAAAGCCCTGTTGTCCTTGAGCTTAAGAGTTCTCTTCTGGGGGACAAATGGGTGTGTGACTAGTGAGACGGTCCCAGAGGCTGGGAAAACCTTATAAAGAAAATTGGGTGCCCTGAAAAGGAGGCTGGCATGTGGGGCTGGGGACGAGCTGGCAGATGCCAGCTGTGTGGGGTCTTTCCTTAAACAAGCAGATGTTCCACCTGTCATGTATAAAGTTCCCCTTGGATTTCAAATTCCCTTCTTAGGCACTAGAGTTTTGATTTTAATGAAGTTTAGGTGTTGTCTATGGCAGAGTCTTACTTGTTTTTTTTTGTTGCAGGAAATTGAAGAGCCATCTCTGGAGCCAGGTACTGTTCAATGAAAAACTTAGCAGCTGGGGTTTGGTCTTCCACCTTCTTTAATTTGAATACTTTAATTTTTAAAAGTTGCAGAACTATAGTGTACGTTGTTCTAAAGGTTTACAATCCAGAACATACCAGGATCATAGAGATTGGAAACCCAGCCGTATCACCAGATCTGTGAAAGTGGCTAATTTCTCATTTTGCAAAATGTTATTGGTAAGATGAAATGCTCTTATGCCTTTTTAAACAAACGGCATTTAAACATTATGGAACAAGTTTGCATGCTCTTAGGAGCTGATGCCTCTGTACCCCACGAAACAGATCTTGTGATATCGGGCAGTACCTTAACTTTGTGGTGTTTGGTTCAGGCAGTGTAGGTAGTGCTAGGGAGACCCATATGAACCATTGGGATGTGCCTGGACTCCAGAAGAGGAAAGAGCTCCTCCATGAGAATTCCAAACAAACACTGTCCCCCTTCTGGACTGCAAATATCTCAGCACCAACGGAAGAGATTCTGATTTTCATGTTGGACTGTTCTATTAAACGAAATTCAAAGAAATTTGGAAATTGAGCTGTTCGGTGAACGGTGATACATTCAGTTAAGCACCTTGGACTTCGGAAGCTAAATTTGGAAGAGTCATATATACACGGCGACAGAATGAAGACTGTCAAGAATTCAGCCAGAAGGTTTTGGGGGTTAAATCTCTGGGATGCTTTTCTCTCCCCTGTAGCGTAGAGGCTTACCTAGTAGGCGGCGCGCAGGTAGTGTAACCAGTGTAACTGTGTACACCCACGGGTTTTCCAATCTCTGTGTAGCTAGCAGTTCTCTTCGTGTTAGTGTGGCAGCCGTGCCAGTTCCACATTGTGATTGCTTTATTTCCCTGGTAATTAAACCTTGTGCCATTCTATTCCTGTTAAATCCGTAGAAAATGAGAAAATACTCGACATTTTGGGGGAAACTTGTAAATCTGAGCCAGTAAAAGAAGAAGGTTCCGAGCTGGAGCAGCCATTTGCACAGGATACAAGTAGCGTGGGGCCAGACAGAAAGCTTGCGGAGGAAGAGGACCTTTTTGGCAGCGCCCACCCGGAAGAGGAGGAGGAGGAAGAGCAGGAGGAGGAGGAGGAGGAGGAGGAGGAGGGAGATTTAGATTTGGCCAGCGAGTCAACACGCGCTCAGTGGAGCGAGGCAGACACCCTGTTAGCGGTAGTGAAAAGGGAGCCCGTGGAGCAGACAGGCGAAGGCGCGAGGACGGACTGTGAGCCTGTAGGGCTAGAGAAGCCAGTTGAGCAGAGTAGCGCGGGCTCCGAGCTCGCGGAGGCCTCTAGCCAGGAGGCCGCGGAAGCGCCCACGGAAGCTCCGAGCCCAGAGCCCAGAGATAGCAAAGAAGACGTGAAGAAGTTTGATTTTGAAGCTTGTAATGAAGTCCCTCCGGCTCCTAAAGAGTCCTCAACCAGTGAGGGCGCTGATCAGAAAATGAGGTTTGTTGTTTCTCAGTTTTAGACCAGACGCTATCTCCTTTTCATTGGTCATTTAATGACACACATAAGCTGTTTTTTCTGCAATTGGCCAGCCAGACTGCTGAAATTGTAGCTTACCTCCCAACAGTGTTTTATTTCTCTTTGTTTATTTTACACTGATTACATAATCTTTTTTTCTTTTCTCAACCTATTATGGTTGTTTTCTTTAATTCTTCCTAATTACCTTTAGCCCAGCAGAATTAATTAACTCCTGTGGGTCTGAAATCTTACGGTTAGGTCAGATTTACAATACAAGTTTGTCGGGGTATCATTTTTTCAGAACTAAATTTCGGGTAGGTATGCAACCTCAGCACGTATTTTATAATTTTGAGTTTTGTCTCCTCAATGCTGCTTCCTCCTGGAGTGACACTGTCTTTTGTCTCTAGTTCTGTTGAAGATGACTCGGACACAAAAAGACTTTCCCGGGAGGAGAAGGGTAGGTCCCGTGGCAGTGCCATTTTCTTGGAGCATGTTGGACCCCAGGATCAGCGGGCAGGGCAATTAATTCTAATCCCTGGTGTCCTATGTGCCCACCCAGACATGCCTAAGTCTTTCAGGAGGTCTTTTCCCCTCCCTCGTGGATTATAGAGTGGGAACCAGTTTCTAAGAGTAAATGCAGTGTCTTGATGTGGACACGTGATTTTGAGAGTGTTTTGAATTCCTTGATCCTGTAACCCTGCCTTAAACCACTCACTGAGGAAACAGCTTCACCGGCCTCTAGTTCCTTCTCCAGTGCTCCTCAGAGTGAAAGGATGGGTGGGTTCCCTCAGGATCCCTGTTTAGCTCAGAGGCAGGCGCTTACTCGCGTGCATGACGCCCTGGGCTCCATCCACCTTACCCTGTGGTTTAGCTACTTGGTCATTGTCTAAGGAAACCTGAGCCATCCCACAGCCCTGGTTCCTGTTGTAATCAGCATTCCTGGCAGTGCTGTTGGGTTTGATGGACGCCTGGCGAGTCCTCACCCCAACTGACGTTAGGTTGTGTCGTGATCCGAGAGCAAATGGGAGTTGTCTCAGCTTTAAACTGACTTTCTTGAAGACTTGGGGTCTTGTGGGTTTTGTGTTCTTGACCAGAACTTTCTTTTGAAATAGGTCGTAGCAGTTGTGGTAGAAATTTCTGGGTTAGTGGACTTTCTTCTACGACCAGAGCTACAGATTTGAAGAACCTTTTCAGCAAATATGGGAAGGTAAGAGCCAGGGGCGTTCTGCCAGTGCAGGTCTCTGTGTGCTCCAAGGCGTCCTGGGGCTCATGTGCTGATGCTCTGCAGACCCTGGCCCTCCCTAGTCAGGAATGTGGACGTTCCCAGAGCTTGGGTCCCTCCATCACTATAAATTTGCCATCTTCCTATTGGTGGCTTTGTGACCCTCAGGTCTTAAAACCCAGAGAGGGCTGCTGTAAGGTTGAATCTAAGGTGTGGATAAGAGCTGTGGTCAGTGTTTGAGAAATAACAACGACTGGACAGGAACAAGAGTAACATTGTGGCATAGTGCTTCAGAGGAGGGCCTGTGCCATCCTGTTGAGATGGGTGACCCTGACTGCAGCTGTATCACTGCCTGGCCTTGAGGTTGCTACCTTAGCCCACCGGAGGGCAGTTCTGGCTCCTGCTTGTCTGAAGCATCTGCCTCTCTTGCACCTATGTAGGCTGGTGGGTGATGGCCATCGCAGGTACGTCCTGCAGTCCCTATAGGGTGACACTGGGGTTGGCTTTCTCACCAGCTCTCCTCGCTTCCTGTCTCCCTGTGCATTCTGGACTTGCCTCACAAATAAACTTTTAGGGATAATCACAGGTTAACACCAGCCTTGTTCACGGCAAGAGCTCAGTGTACCATGACAGAGAAAACTAAGAACGTTCACCCTGATTCTTGATGTCCAAGTGCTGAAGGAGGGGGAGCTGAAGACACCGCGGTCGTACAAGTAGCTAATGAAGCCCGCAGGTCCTGTGGTCCCCATAACTCATGAGGCTGAGGCAGGGGGATGGCAGTTCACAGCCAGCCTCAGCTACTGAGTGAAGCCCTGAGCAGTTTATGACCCTGTCTCAACATTTAAAGGGGCAGGAGGTGTGACTGTGGTTAAGAACCCACAGGTTCAATCCCTGGTACCAAAAGAAGAACAAAGCAACCAACCTGGTTTTGTGTGGGTCACAGATGTGACTTTTTGCCCCATTGCCCATGTCCCTCTCCTAATTTGACTGTACATTTAGGCTCATTTCCTCCCATATTTAAGCCACGTTAAAAGAGCACAGGCAGAATTTTGCTTTTTTTTCCCCTGGTGGTGCTGGGGGTTGAACCCAGGGCCTCGGGCAGGCAGGGCAGGCCCTCCACCAGTTGAGCTGTGTTCTCAGCCCTCGAGTTGGCACTTTTGTCTCCCCCTCCCTGTCCTCACCCTGCCTTCCTAGCCCTCCCAGGGAGCCCAGAGAACTGTGTGAGGAGGACCAAAGGCCTTTGAGGAACTGCAGGGAGATGGAGCTGCCCCCTCTCCGTGTGCCCGGTTCCCTGTGCTTTTGCTGCTATGGTGTGGGGCCTGCCCTGCTGCGGGGTGTGTCCGAGCCATATTTGCTGCTTTCCTTCAGGTGGTAGGCGCCAAGGTCGTGACGAACGCCCGGAGTCCTGGTGCTCGCTGTTACGGTTTTGTCACGATGTCCACAGCAGAAGAGGCAACAAAATGCATCAGCCACCTGCATAAGACTGAGCTCCACGGGAAGATGATCTCCGTGGAGAAAGTGAGTGGCCGTTTTCTCCTGGGGTGCAGCAGTGTGAGGAGAGGAGGGGGCACTTGCACTTGATTCTTTTCTTCAGGCAAAAAATGAACCTGCTGGCAAGAAAGCCTCGGAGAAGAGAGACGGCGAAGGGCGGAAGGAGAAGGCGGGCACCAGTGACAGGTGTGCTCTTCCCTGGTAAACCAGCGGGCAGGGGCTGGCGAGGGCACCGCAGCTTGGCAGGCTGAGTGTCTGTGGCTCGACCACTGCGACCGGTGCCCCTGCATTTATTTGTATGGGGCCGGAAAGCTGGTGACACTGTCTTCGTTATAGTCACTCGGAGCTCTTGCAAGGGTGCAGTCACAGCTGCTGTGTTTCCCTAACACCTGCTTTAACGGTGGCGTGTCTGGGGCTGTCACTTGCAGATCTGCAAACATTAAGAGAGAGGATAAGGCCGACAGAAAAGATGACACCAAAAAGGGTGATGACGGAAGTGGAGAAAAGACTAAAGAGCCCGATGATCAGAAGCCTGGCCCCTCGGAGCGCTCTCGAGCCACCAAATCAGGTAGCCAGCCAGCCCAGCCATGTAGCAGCTTCCATCTTTCCTCTGTCACTAGCTGGTATGACTTGTTGATTTGCTGTGATCAAGTGACACCACACACCAAGAGTCCTCCTGCATAGTGTGCAGTGTGGAGCTTCCTTCCTGAGGGGCTGCTTTTGTTTTGTTCTTTCTGTTTTTTTTCTTTTTTGTAGTTGTTGATGGACTGCATGTTTTTATTTTATGTATTTTTATGTGGTGCTAAGGATCAAACCCAGGGCAGCACATATGCTGGCAGCCACCGCTCTGCCCCTGAGCCGCAGCCCAGCCCCTAGGTGTGTTTCTCACCTCAGATGTCCTCCTCTGTTTCTATAGGAAGTCGGGGCACCGAGCGAACTGTGGTGATGGACAAATCCAAAGGTGTGCCTGTGATTAGTGTGAAGACATCTGGGTCCAAGGAGAGAGTGAGTCGGAATTTCCTCCTACCTGTAGTTGTTCATGGTGTTTTGTTTTGTTTTACAGTTAACATTATTTCTGGGTATATTTTAGCAGATTCTTGAACCGTTCAATTGGAAAATAAGCTTTCTACCTTTACAAAAATATAGAATTTTTAAAAATAACTTTTTTGTAGTTGTAGATGGACAGAATGCCTTTATTTTATTTATTTTTATGTGGTCCTGAGGATGGAGCCCACTACTTCATGCATGCTAGGCAAGCATTCTACCACTGAGCTACAGCTCCAGCCCCCAAAAATGTAGAATTCATAAAGGAAAAAGGTGGAAAGGTTTTCTTCATACTCATTCCTGCTCTGACATCAGTTGTTGGTTTTTATTTATCTCCTAAAGCTGTCTTCAAAAGTAGAATCTGGGAGCAGTGGGCATGTTTTGCATCGCAGCGGCTCTCCTCTGTGAGCCTGAGCCCTCACACAGACGCCTCTAGGCACGGGCTTATTCTTGGCCTGTCTTCTGGCAGCATGTTCCACGGGAGACAGAAACCAAAGTGTCTGTGTGGGTTCTTGGCCCAGGTACATTCAGGCTAACAGCGACCGCAGTGGTGAAGGCAGGACACGCAGGTCATGAGAGGATGATGGCAACAGAGACGGGTCCCTGTGCAGGTTGCTTCGGCAATCACGCCTGCCCCTGGGTCTCATGTGGTACAGTGAGAGTGCAGTGGTGTGTGTGTGGTTCCTACCCAGAGAAGCCCCATGGAGCAGTGCTGTACAGGATGTTAGGAGGCTGGTCACGAGGGCCACCCTCTGCCTGGCATGAACCAAAATGATTACATCCCGAAGGGAAAGTAGATCTTTTAACTTAAGCTTTTATCTGCAGACTTGGAACTCTGAGTGACCAGAGGCCCCTCTAAAGAGAGCAGCCATGGGCCTGCTCTGTCAGTCTGAGACACAGAGGATGAGCTGGCTGCGGTTTTGAGTGGTGCAGATCAGTTTTAAGCTGGCCTTTCAATATGGAAGCCCATGTTTCTTTTTGTAAATATTATATCTCTTTACTTTTGTGTTATGATAATGATTGAAAGATGCGAAAGTAAAACTAATTCCTGCCAGGTACAGCGGCACACACCTGGGGAGGCTGAGACAAGGGGACCACAAATTCAAGGCCACACGGGGAAAATTAGACGTAATCTCAAAATAATATCATTGTTTTAAAAGGCAGGGGATAGCTGGGAGCACTGGCACATGCCTATAATCCAAGTGGCTTTGGAGGCTGCAGCAGGAGGGTTTCATGTTCAAACTCAATTTCAGCAACTTTGCAAGACCCTGTCTCAAAAGATGTGATGATCGAGTGCCTCTGGGTTCCGGCCTCAGAACCACACACACACATTCCAGGGCTCAGATGTGTAGCTCTCATTAAAATGTTACACAAATAAGGAAGTTGTTAGGCATATTAGAATTGGCTGCATTTTTTAATTCACTGAATATTATGAATCTAGTGCAAAATTAAGAGATTTATTTTGGATGCATCAATTGATGTATAAAAATTCATTTTGATCTTAAATTTCTTCATGAGAAATACTCATTTTCATTCAGGCTCTGTCGGCTGGAGTCAGTAAATCATTGTTTGAAGAGTTTATGTCACGTTAGACATAGAGGAAAGCCTGTGGCCTTCGAGGCACGAGATCTCTTTAGAGAGAATACTTACTTCTTACTGCTCATTCCAAATGAATTCTTCCCTAGAGTCTGCATTCATTTTTGGACACAGATGCTCCTCCTTTTTTCTATTGTCTTTTCTACCTTAATTTTTGTCCTTTGATAAACTAGGTCTCCAAAAGCCAGGATCGCAAGTCGGCCAGCAGAGAGAAACGGTCCGTTGTGTCCTTTGATAAGGTCAAAGAGCCTCGCAAGTCAAGAGATTCAGAGTCCCGGAGGTGAGTCATGGTCCAGGGACACTCACTGATGTGGCTGTCCCCAGACTGTGGTCATGCCCCTGTCCTGAGCGGACATCCTCAAAGTTCCCAGTGCGTGGAACGTTGCTTTAAGCCTTTTTGTTCTGTGGCTTTCTGTTTGTGGATTTGCCGTGTGCTGGCTTTCAACTTTTGGCTGTTTTCAGAGGATTTCATTCAAATCACCCATTTCTTCCCCAGAATTGTGGAAGGTAACCAGGTGGTTAGGTGGCCTGCCTTCCTGTTGCGGTGAAGCTGTTTTGCCAATAGTGTCACATTTGCCTCAGGAGCTGGGAAGGGAGGACTGGACAGTGAGCACATTCTTAACTGCGCCAAGGAAAACTGTGGGATAATGTTGGTCCCCCAGGGTTGTCGTTCTGTGTTCTATTGAGCAGTTAAAAAATAAATAAAAGGCCGGCAGGGAAAGGGGTGGGCACAAGAGCAGGGAGTTTCTGTCCTGTCCCTGGAGGACTTCTGGCCTAGAAAGCAAAACGGTGGGCAGTGAAGCAGGTGCCTTTACTTGTTTATCTGGCAAACTAATCAACAAAAGAGACCTTTATGACCGGAAAGTCACGTGAAAAGAGCAGCATTTCCCACCAGTGAAGGGGGACTTGGTGTTGTGGTCCTTCACCAGCGGGAAGGAGGACTTGCCCTGGTCAGAGTTTTGCATCTGCACTGTGGAAATCGAGAGTCAGGACGAGACGGCCACACGAGGAGAATAAGAAGTCAGAATAACGGGGCCACCAGAGAAAGGGACGGTCCTGGCAGGGCAGCACGGGTTTCCTGCCTTGAAACGCAGGGAGTGCTGCTCAGCCTCACCAGGGGTCAGAGAGGTGGATGGTGGCAGCCCCGGAGACCTTTTGTTGTTTTCTGTCATGTCCTTGGTGTCAGTGTAGGGCTGAGGTGTGAAGAGGTGATATTTCTGCCAGGGCGAGGAGGGGCGGACACGGGCCACAGAGCCCTCCAGGTCCGCGTGATCCACTGCTCCTTGTCATCTCTAGGGGACCCACGCACAGGGAAGGGTGAACGAGGGGTCAGGGTTGTGCCGTTTTGGGCCTTGCTTGGGCAGACCACACCTTATTGCACACTTGGTGGCCTGCTTCCCTTGAGAGTGTCGTCCATCCATAGAGGCGACGCATGGTGGGGTGAGATGTGTTCAAAGTACACAAAACAGCCTGGTGGTATTTTTCTGCCGGTGTAGGTGTGGGTCACCTTTATTGCAGAGACTAGCACCAGAAGGAAATGCACTAACACATCACCGTGTTGCTGCCAGAAGCAGACAGTGGGCTGTCCTCCTGGGCAGGCCCCATCCTCGGTTTTGGGTTGCTGCAGAAATAGGAGGTGTGGGCATGAGAGTCCATTCTGCCTTTAGCCCCATTTCACACGGACTGATCAGGCTGGTGGCAAATGATGTCACATGTTGAACTTCAGGAAATGTTTAAGAAATGAGGCCAGTTCATAGGACAGCTGGCCTCTCCTGTCCTACACCTGTGCTCCCTCTTCCCTGGCTGGGGTAGACAGGGCTGGGAGTGGAATCCTTGGGCTCTTGTTGCGCTTCACCAGCCCCCTGTGGCCAGCACCTCTCCCGCTGCTTCTCACGCATCCTGGAGTGTGAGTGGGAGCCCCTGGGGTGCCATACACTCCAGCCCTGCTGTCCTGCCACAGGGAGCGGGAGCGCAGTGAGCGGGAGCAGCGCCTGCAGGCTCAGTGGGAGCGTGAGGAGCGGGAGCGGCTGGAGATCGCCCGCGAGCGGCTGGCCTTCCATCGGCACCGCCTGGAACGGGAGCGCATGGAGCGGGAGCGGCTGGAGCGAGAGCGCATGCACGTGGAGCAGGAGCGCCGGCGTGAGCAGGAGCGGATCCACCGAGAGCGCGAGGAGCTGCGGCGCCAGCAGGAGTTGCGCTATGAGCAAGAGAGGCGGCCGGCAGTGCGGAGGCCCTACGACCTTGATGGCCGGTGAGCTTGGCCACCTGGGTGTCCTGGTGTGATGTGTGGCATTGGCCACCAGAGTCATGGAGGCCCGCAATCTTGCTCCAAAAGGAAGCCCGGGTCTGGGCTTCTACTCAGCTTGCCTCCAGGCTTCAGCAGGGTTCCCTGGCTCAGCAGAGATGGCGCTGGGTCCAGGCATCAGGTCCAAGCCCAGGCACAGGAGGAGGAGCACTGGGAGGCAGCCAGGGACCCAGAAACGCCTCCCTTGGGGTCCACACAGGCCTCTGTCTTCCACTGGATAAGTTAAAGGGAACCCATGTGCCATCCAGTCCCACTCTCATCAAGGGCCTTCTCAGCTGCCATCGGTCTCTGGGCCTTTGTCTAAGAGAGGAGTCTGCTTTAGCCACCGCTGAGTGACTAATTCTTCAGTGGGTTTCTCGATGCCTCTTTGAGAGGCAGCAAGTCAGCTTCAGGCTAGAAGCAATGGCAGAGTCTCCTGAAAGGGCTCTGGAGAACAGAGGTCTTCCTGGTTTCCCCACAGTGGCACTGGGTTGGGTTCCTAGGGTCGCCTGTGACAGTCCTCCTGATGGCTGCCCTGCTGAGAAATCGAGTGCCCTCTGCATGCAGGCAGCACAGCCCAGCCCGACCTGCCAGCCTAGGCAGCCCAGAATACTGTGTGGAAGACGCTCATGATGTGACGGGGACGGACCGTGGGGCTTAGTTCCAGCTCCACAGGGCTGTCATTGGCAAGGCCTCTTTCCACCCTGTCCTGCACCCCTCACAGGCGGGACGATGCCTATTGGTCAGAAGCCAAGCGGGCCGCTCTGGATGAGCGCTACCACTCTGATTTCAACCGCCAGGACCGATTCCACGACTTCGACCACAGGGACCGGGGCCGCTACCCCAACCACTCCGTGGACAGGTCAGTGTGGCCCTGTTGCCCCTCCTTGGTGGTGTGGGTGTTTTCCCCTCTGGTCATTCACTGGCCTTCCTTGACCCAGGCGCCCACATGACCCATCACTTTGCATCCATAGCAGCTCATGCTCCAGTCACTACATCCGGCCTGGGCACCGCCACGCCACCTGGGGTCTGGGTGGCCCCTTCTGGTTAGCAAGCTTCTTTTCCTCATGGATTGGTTTAAACTGTCTCTTTCAGGAGAGAAGGTTCCAGGTCAATGATGGGAGAAAGAGAAGGACAGGTAAGTCAGAGCGACAGTGTACCCACAGTTCCCATGGAGTCCAGTCCCTTCCCCGCTGCAGAACCCCCGTCCCACTTGAGACCTGGTGTTTGTGGGACAGAGATGTGGACCTGCTGGGCTTAGTCGGGACGTCTCCAAACCATCACCTCAAGGCCTTTTGCGGCTGTTGCCGAGGCTCCCAAGGCTGGAGGCCTGGCAGGCCGACCTGTGCTGCTGAGAAGTGCTGAGCTGCGCAGTAGCACTTCCTGTGGCAAGGTCCTCTGCCCCATGGGCCTGGGGAGGCAGCAGCCACTGCATCTACTCCCAGGGCACACTTGGACAGCTCAGGCTGCCACTAAGCCTTGGAAACAGCCAAGTCTTTGGTCCGTACTTGTTCTTGATGCAGGTTTATCCCATTAGAAAAATAAACTCGGGGCAAGGGTGCTGACTCTAACCCCAGCAACTATGAGGCTGAGGTAGGAGGACCACAATATCAAGGCCAGCCTCAGCAACTCAGTAAGGTCCCAAGACCTCAAAAAACATAGGGGTCTGGGGATGTGGCTCTGGGTAAAATCCCCTGGGTTCAATCCCTGGTACGAATAAAAAAGGAAAAGAAAAAAATTAATGTGGGATCCTTAAGAGAAGACAAGTTGTGAACCGAAAGAAGTTTTGGCAAAAGACACATCTGGTAAAGGACTGTTACCGAAACACACAAAGGACTCTTAAAATGCCCGGTCCCAAGAGGAGAGAGAGCGCAGTCATCTCAGTTCTGTTGGCTTCTAGATGGAGAATTCCCACCAGGGCCCTGCACCCTGGGGCACTTTACTGGAAGAAATGGGGGGAAGGGGGAGTTCAGGAGGTGCTTGTGGCAGAGGAGATGCCCTGCGAGTGTGTCTCTTCCCATGGCGTGTTCTTGACAGATCTGTGCCTCCTGTCCCATCTTGTCCCCTCTTTGGTGTCTCAGCATGACTGAGGACAGCTAGCCTCCTGGCTTAGACTGGGGTGTCCTCACAGGATTACTTCCTCCTGGTTCCTGGGGGTAAACAGCACCACAAGCTGGTCTTCTGATTTCCCCGGGACAGCTAGAACACAGTGGCCACACATCCACGCTCTGGAATCTAGACAGAACCGGGTCACATTCTGGTGACACCCTATCTGCCGAGTCTGTTCCTCTGGCTACAGAATGGGAGTGATTATTCCTCCCACATAAGGCAGAGGATTTAGGCAAGGTGTTGCGCACACCTTCGTAACGTGTGCACAGTTCCCATTGGTCATGACCATCTGCTTTCCGTGGGGTTAGTAGACGACGTCCTCCCGAAACTGACCGTGTTTCTCACATGCCCAGGCCTGCGGAAGGGAGCAGTGCTGCCCCAGCAGCACGGGGTGGCGTTTGGCTCCCAAGAAAAGGTCACAGAAAGAGAAAACTATTTCAGAACTTGGGCTGTTGTTGAGTTCTTAGTGGGTTTGGTTGGACAAAAAAAAATACTGGTTGATTTTAAAACTGCAGGAGAAGTGGAAATGGCTAAATAGTAGAGAAGTAGGTCTCAACAGTAAGTCCTTTACTTTGTAGTAAATGATTTGTCCACTTTCGCGCCTTAAAACTTAAGGTTATTGAGTCAGGTGGAGTGGCCCACATCCGTAATCTCAGCAGCTTGGGAGGCTGAGGCAGGAGGATCCCACAGTCAAGACCAGCAACTTTGTGAGACCCTATTTCAAAATGAAAATGTGGGGGGTGGCTCAGCAGGTACGTGCCCCTGATGTAGTTAGGTAGATAGGCTGATAAAAATTCAGTGAAGCTGTCTAAAGCTGCGGGCTGGTGCGTGTGTTGTGATCCGTGTGTCCTGGGGGTCGCCTAGGGAGGGAGCAGTGTTTTCTGGGGCCCGTGTTGGGAGCAGTCCTTGGCTGTGGCAGGACGCACCGTGGGTGTGCCCTGGCCTGTCCACGGTGAAGCCGTGGCTTTTTGAGGCTCTGGGAGATGAGGCCAGGAAAGTGGCGAGGGTTGCCCCTGTGCCTTTGCACACACTGGTTAGGGCCCCTCTGTTGCCGCCGTGTAGGTAACATTTTCCTGGGCAGCCACCACAGCCGTGAAATAAGGAAAGGGGCGCGTAACTCTGTTACTTCCTCCGCTGGGAGGAAGACACTTAGAGAAAGGAAGGTGCAGCCACGGGGCCCGGGGGGTGAAGGGGGAGACCTGGGAGAGCTTGTGAAGTGTCCTCTTACCTCCTCGACTGCTCTGGGTGCTGGGCAGTCACCAGACCTCTGCTCAGAGTCCTTTGGAGAACTCTGGCGTCCTGCTTGGGGGACCTCTGCCTGCTGTCACCAGGTGCTCTTTCCTTCAGCCACAACCTGGGCCACGGCTTTTCTGGCCTGTGGAGATGAGGGGGTGCAGCTGTGTGGAGTGAGTGAGGTGGCCCTGCGAGCCCCGCAGCAGGGGCCTGGATACTGCCCTTGTCATCACCAGCTTTGTCACCCACAAGGCCTTGGGTGGAGTTGATGACTAAAGCTTTCTTTTCATCCTCTCTCTCTGATGTCCAGCATTACCCTGAGCGCCACGGAGGTCCGGAGCGCCATGGCCGTGACTCCCGCGATGGGTGGGGCTATGGCTCTGACAAGAGAATGAGCGAAGGCCGAGGGCTGCCCCCTCCCCCCAGGTTTGTGTCCCCTGCTCTGCCTGTCCCGGGCCTCTCAGTTGGCAAGACAGACCTGTCTCACCAGGGCCACTCAGTCACTGGGGTGAGCCACCAGGTGGAGAGGGCCAGGCCCAGGCAGCTGGCCGACGTTCAGGGAGCCCCAGAGCCCACTGAGCAGCTGCCGGCTGAGACCCATGTCCTTCCTACGGCTCCTGGGGCACAGGGATGGGAACGCCCCCGAGCTGAGGGGACAACGCTGAACCCACTCTCAGCGTCCACCTCCGCCATTAGGGTGGAAGGCAGAGGAGGGGACACTCCAGATCAGAGATCTCTTTTTCCAAGGGGCAGACGTGACTGGGGGGATCATGGCCGAAGACTAGAGGATGACCGGGCCTGGCAGGGAGCTGCTGACGGGGGCATGATAGACAGGGACCACAAGCGGTGGCAAGGTAAGGAGTGACCTGGAGGGTGGAGACCTGGGACGGGGAGGAGAGCGCCTGCCCTGGGTTTCCGGCCCCTCAGGCCACCCGGAGCTGGTGGTGGGAGGTGCTCTGGGGGTCTGGATAGGCACTGTGCAGGGGGTGTCCCAGGTCCTCCCCACCTGACCCAGTGAGGGCGCGGGGACTGCCAGCTCCTGGCTATGCAGGTGCCTCAGTGGTGAGGCCTGGAGGGCGGGGGAGGCGGGAGTGGAGGCCCCAGGGCTGTGAGCAGCACCGATGCTTTCTTCCAGGTGGTGAGAGGAGCATGTCTGGTCACTCGGGGCCTGGCCACATGATGAACCGGGGCGGCATGTCAGGGTAAGGTGGTGGTCGGTGACACTTGAGACTCTTGCTGGGATGCTCCACCTGTTCCTTCTCTGCATGGTGGCTTGCCAGGGTGACAATTTAAAAGCCCCCGCTAGCCCCTTTGCCTTCCGAGTGGGACACCAGGTCAGAGGGCTGGGGCTCAGGAGGGGTTGGGCAGTCGCAGGGGGCCTGCCCTTCCTGGGCCCACCGGTCCCAGGACAGAGTGGGGCTTGGGAACGGCCACGGCCTGTGGGAGGGCTCCAGACCCGAGAACCTGACTTCTTCCTAGGCGCGGCAGCTTCGCCCCAGGCGGGGCCTCCCGGGGCCACGTGATCCCGCGTGGAGGGATGCAGGGCGGGTTCGGAGGACAGAGCCGGGGCAGCAGGCCCAGCGATGCCCGCTTCACTCGCCGCTACTAAGTAATTTGAATCCTGTGTTCCTGTCACGTGGCCAGAGTATGTTCTGTTAGGAGTTCTCTTAAACCGTGTACAAACCTTTTTTTTTATCTGCTGCCATATTGTAGCTCGATACAATGTGAATTGTTTTTTGTTTTTCGTTTTGTTTTTTGTAATAAAGGTGTTTCTGTTCACATGCCCTTTACTCATTTATAAAGTGTGGCTTCTGTTTCTGCCAGTGAAGGGCAGGGGGTGGGGCTGTGGGGCAGAGGGACTTGCCAAAGCCCACACAGAGGGGCAGGGCCATCTTATCCCTCCCTCGCCCAGGCTCAGTGGTTTCGGTGACTGAGCTCCATCCCTGGCAGCCATGCCAGGAACCCGCCCAGATCCAGGCAGGTGGGACTTGGCCGCCTGCCCAGGAAAGGAATAAGCAAATGACATTGAATCCAGTTTGATCCAGCTGGGGAGGAGCATCTGAGTTACTTGGGCACCAATCCTCCAGAAGTGGGTCCAGCTGACAGAAACGCCAGGGGGTGGCAGTCTCCGAGGGAGGGGGCTCGGGGAGTGTTAAATCGGAAAGGGGCTGTTCCCCAGCAAGAGGGTGCTGGGCCACCACGACACACCTGGGTGGCTGAACACAGCTGTGCCACCAATTGTCTTCTGTAGAGATGCACCTGGCAGCGCTTGTACCTTTGAGTCCCACCGTGTGCGTTGCTGGGTCTCGGTGTCCCAGCTGTGTCTACTGACCCTGTTGGTGTTAGAGAACCACTGGAAGGGCATCGGCTGCTCCGTGGTGCCATTAAGTCCCATCCCGAGGACACGACACGGTACACAGCCACCTTTCTGGTGAGGGAAGGCCTCCTCCTGTGGCTCACCTGCATGGTGCTGCTGCTGTGGACACTGAGTTCCCTGCAGGCCTCGCCCACGGGGTTCACAAGCCGCTCTCCAAGCTTGCTGGCCAAAGCCCACGACTAAAACATTCAGGGTCCCTCCAGGGCAGCACCAAACAACCCACAGAGACCTTTTTCTTTGGGTCCTGTGAGGACTCCTCTGACCTTAAAGGTCCCCGGAAAGAGCGAGCCAGTGCTGACCCTTTTATTGAGGAGAAACCATTCAAATGAGGCCGGGGTCAGGATTCAGGGGGCTGAGTCTGGCCTCGTGATGTCTGCTGTCAGCAGGTTGACTGACATCTAGGAAGGCCACACCCAAGGGCAGAGCAAGAGAAGGGGACACCCAGAGTGTTTCCATGGAACATTCTGTCCCAAACGGCAAGGGCAACATCACCAAGGAACAGGTGGGCGTAGCTCTGTCCATGGGCAACACCTACGTCTGAAGACACGCCCTCAGCTTCCTGAACTGAGGCAACGTCCAGGTCCCTATGCAGTGACTGGTCAAAGCCTCTTGCTCCAGGATGGCATTTGGCCAGAGTGCCCCCCCCCCCCGCTGCAGAATGGGGGAGGGGTCAGTGCACTTGAAGGCAGGGGACCCTCTGGACCTGCCTGCTTTGGAAGAGCTCAGATAGCAGAGGGCCAGCCTGAGTGCACGGGCTGTGGAGAAGGCTACACCAGCAGCAGGCGGCTGGGCGGGACACACCTGGAACTGCAAGGTGGCGAGCCATTTGGCCCAGCCTGGGCCTGACGGGAAGCAGCAGAGGCAAGGAGGACAGTGGGGCTCGCCTCACTCTGGGTCCCCTCATCTTCAAAGCACTGGTGGCTCTGCCAACAGCCACTGGCTCCAGTGAAGAAGGTGGTCGTGTGGACGTCAACAGGAAGTCCAGGTGGGCGGCTCCGTGAAGACTGTCCCACTTTCTATTTATTTTGGTGCTGAGGATCAAACGCAGGGGCACTCGACCACTGAGCACACATCCCCAGCCCTGTTTGTCCTTGACTTAGAGACAGGGCTCACTGAGTTGCTTAGCACCTCACTTTTTGCTGAGGCTGGCTTTGATCCTCCTGCCTCAGCCTCCCCAGCCGCAGGGATGACAGGCATGCGCCACCCTCTCCCTTGCACCAGGTCCTATCCATTTTTTTATCTTGAGACAGGATCTTTGCTAAATTGGTAGGGCTTCACTAAATTGCTGAGACTAGCCTCAAATCTGCAATCCTCCTGTCTCAGCCTAACCCTAACCCTAAGTCCCCTCAGGGCCTTCCTTTGAATACCCAGGCAGTGTGCATTTGCTGGAAGCAGAACTCAGCTATGATTTTTTTGGTGGGCGGGAACACAAGGACGATGGGCCCACCTGTGGGGTGAGGACCCACCACATCCTCAGCCTCCAGTTCAAACCAGGCAGCCTTGATTACAGGCGGCCCCTCCTGGTGCCTGGAGAGCTGCCCAGTTCTCTGCTCCCTTCACCTCTAATATCTGTCCCCTGCTGAGCTCTCTCGCCTGCTCCCCGAAACTCCTAGGAATGGGGATCCTGCTCCCTGCTGCCTGTCCTGGCACAGCATCCTGGGAAGGAATCCGACTCCCACCCAGGCTGTCTCCTCCCAGGGAAACTGCTCTCTGGATTCCTGACACTGATTTCTTGCCGTCACCAGCCATGGGGACACACTCTGTGGCTGGGTACCAGGGGCTTCCCAGAAGCCTTAGACAGACCCACCTTGCTGGAGCTTCCGTCCTGTGGGGACACAGAGCACAGGCAGCCGACACAGTGTCCCCAGGAACAAGGGAGACTTGGGAGAGGAGGCAGGGCCTGGGTTCTGGTGGACGTCCCTCAGGCACAGGGCCCACAGGCCTGGGCGCTCAGGAATCACCAGGTTGTCAGAGAGAGAGTGGCTGACGGTGGTGGCCAGGAGACCAGGACTGGACTAGGACCCAAGGGGCTGAGCAAGCGAATCAGTGGCCTTGGGGCTCCTGTGGGTGCCATGTGGGTGCTCACTGACTGAGCCCCTCAGACTGACTCCCTAGGCTCAGTCAGCCGGGATCATGAAGCCCCTGCACAGGCTCGACCTTCCTGGGAGCCTGAGCACTCTGGGGACCAGGACCAGCTGTCCACCGCGACGCCCCACATCAGGTTGACAGTCCATGACAGCAAAGGAGTAAACCAGCTTGAGAACAAGGTCCAGCCTCAAGGAACCACTAGGAGGTGCCAGAAGCTCAGGCCCAACCGTGACCCCGGCAGCACACAGGTGGCAGAACAGTTCTGAAGTCCTTTATTGGGCCAGCAAGGCTGGGAGCTGCCCTTGGCGTGGGGTCCCAGTCGGGAGTCGGGAGCCCCCGGCACCCTGCCCAGGTCCGCAGGTGGACAGCCTCTGCAACTCCTACTTGACGCGCTCCTTCACGTACTCCCAGCCCTCCCTGGAGTACTCCTGGGCCTTGGAGGGAACCGCAGACAGCAAGGACATCACCTTGATGATGCCTGCGGGGGCGGGCAGGGAGGGAGGCCGCTGTGAGGCTCCAGCGGCTGCAGGCAGCCCCTAGCCTCAGCCAAGCCCCAGGGAAGCCCCGGGGACAAGGCTGTTTTAGAGACCAAACTTCCAACAACCGGCAACTGAAGCGGATGCAGGGCAGGGCCTGGCTCAGTGTGGACCTGGCCACCTGCCCCCATTCTACCAGGCAACGACAGCCCCGCCCTCCCGGGAGGCTCTACCCCCTCCATTTCCCCAGAATCTCCACCCCTTCGCCTCTTTTAGATCCATGGGAGACAGGAGGAGGGATGACAGGAAAGAAGGGCCAGGAAGCCAGGAGGGGAGCCATGGTGGGGTGCCTTGGGCCACACTCTGCAGAGGCACAGGGCCTACCTGAATTCCAGGACTCGCGGATGGGAAAGTTGATCTTTGGAGGGGCTGGGAGCTGGGGGGAAAAGGAGCAGAGGCTGGGGAACAGGGAAGGGCTCTGCCTCCCAGCAGCCCCAGGCGTGCAGAGGACACCAAGCCAGACTGGAGGACTGAGGCCACCCCAGAGCCACACGCACTCCCAGCGGTACCTGTGGTATCTGCAGGCCTGTCTGCCGGGACACGTACTGGCTGAACTGGTGCACGGCAGGGGGCACCACCTCCTTGGCCTTCCGCAGGGCGGCCTCGCTCTTGTCACTGGACCCCAGCAGATCCTGGTCATACACCAGGTAGGTGGCACCACCAGCCACACTGCCTTTGATGAGGAACCTGCCGCAGGGAAAGGAGCTCACTGTGTACTGCTGGCCACCCACGAGGAATGTGACCCTCCTGGGGGGTTCCCAGTCCAGATGACACTCATGTGGCCTGAGAGCTAGCTGGGGAAACGAAGGGCACCCTGAGAGCCCAAAGGTGCTACAGCACTGAGTTCTCACTGCACAAAGCAGAGCCACTCAGGGCCACTGCAACTGGAAAATGAGGCCGGAAAATGGACACTGGGGTTATTCAAGGTCCCTCAGAGTGCAAGGGAAGTGAAGACTTGAGACACCTAACCTTTCGGGAGCCTTTCTGCCCAGGGTGGGCTCTGGGCGGGCAAGCCGCTGGTTTTTTCTAAGTGTCGCCGGGCGCTTCCCGTATGTCACTCGCTGCTTTGGGAGCATTAACCTCGGGACAAACGCGAACGGTAGGATTCCCTGGGCACTCCCGTTTCACAGACGCGGCAGCTGAAGCTTGGAGAGCTCTCGGGCCAGTGAGCCGAGCGACCAGGGATCGCCGGGAGGAAGCGGGAGGCGACTGCGACCCGGCGAGGCCCGTCCCAAAGAGTCCGATCCCCTACGTTGGCCAGGGAGAGGGGACTGAGTAGGTGCCCGCAGGAGGGGGCCCGCCCGAAGCCCCACGCACCTCATCACCGACCACACTCGCGACACCATGGTCGCTCCGTTCCGCGCGCAAGGACACTGCACTCGCCCGCCGCTTCCGGTCTCGGTGCCGCACAGGCCTCTGGGAAGCGTAGTCCTCCTCGTCTGCCGCAAAGGCCTCTGGGAGTGGTGTCTTGTTTTGCCTCAGGCTCCTCCGCAGGGGCCTCTGGGAAATTCAGGGCCCGTCCGCCGCACAGCTCTCTGGGAAATGTAGTGCGGCCCGGCCCAGGCGGCCGAGGGGTAAGAGGCCTCAGGGGTCTGGAGTGAAGCCTGAAGTGACCCTGAAAGATGTCGAATCACGAGGGATCCCGAGCTGGCGCAAATGACTGGAAGATCACGTCTAGAAAGCGGTCGTCAAGGCAACGCGAGGCTAGTTCGAGAGAGGCGGGCCCGTAGCACGTGACCGGGCTCGGGGCGTCAGACCTGGGGGCGTGGCGGGGCGGCGGCGAGCGAGAGAGCCCGGCGGAGGCCGTTGCCTGGCAACGCCGGGGCGCGGAGTCCCGCTCACGTCCCCTCCCATAGGAGGTGGGCTCGAAGTCACGTGGCCCCGCCCTACGGGAGGGGGCGCGGTCGGGGTCCGGCCGAGCGCCGCGAGAAAGGTAGGCCCGAGGGTCGTTCACGCCCGGACCCCGGCCCCGCTGGACGGCGGGGAAACTGAGGCCCGAGTGGGTGAGTGCGCGGCTGGGGACACGCAGGGGTCCCACGCTCCCCTGTCCCGGCGGGAAGCGAGGCCGGGCGCGGTCGCGGCGCCAGTGCGTTCTGCCAGGTCTGGTGCCCCTTCCGCCCGCTGCGACCCGGCTGCCAGGCCCCCGTCTCCACCCGCCACCGGCCCGCCTGCCTGTCCCTCTGCACCCGCCTCCTTTGCTGGACCCGGGGTGGGAGGAGCCCCCCGGGGTGCTTCGTGCCCCGTCCCTGGGAGTGAGAAGTGGGAGCGCGTGTCGGGCTTGGTGGCCCTGGCTGGGACGGCTGGGGGATCCGCTCCTCCAAGCACCCAAAGGTGCAGAGATAGGCGGTGGGCTGATGGGTGGGCAGCGCCAGACCCGCGTGGCCCGTGGTGAGGGCTTCGGGCCCTCCGGGGCAGGGGGGAGCCCTGGACAGGCTTGCAGCTGCAAGGGGCTCGGCCAGGATGCCTTCCAGAGACCCCTCTGGCTGGCTCCAGGGGGCGGGAAATTCGGGAGAGAGGAGGGGAGATCCGGTTCCCCCAACCCATCATCCCGGCCCTCGCAGCTTCTGGATTTGTGAAGACCCCCGTCCTTGTCCCGTGGACTTCAGAGGATAGCAACCCCAAGGTTGGATGGGCTTGTGGGAGACCGTGGTCCCCAGAACTTGAGGAATCTGGCTTGTTGCCCTCTTCCTCCTTCTCCCCCACACTGAAGGCATGTCTTCACCCCATGAGGGCCACTTCTGTGTCCACCCATCCCCAAGTGTCCAGCCCTCTGGTGTCTCCAGACAGACCTGTCTCTCTGGACTCCTCCAGCTCTTGCCTATCCATTCCCCACAGCACTCCATGTCAACCTAGGGTCTACTGAGCACCTGTTGTATACCTGGCATGGCTTTGGGGGCTGAGGACCAACAGCCAGGTGCAGTGGACCATACCTCTAATCAGTGGCTCAGGACCCCGAGGCAGGAGGCTGGCGAGCTCAAGGCAGCCCAGGAACTTAGCGAGGCCCTGAGCCATGCAGTGAGACCCTGGCTCAAAGAAGGGAACATCAAAGGGCTGGGGCTGGGGCTCAGTACCCAAAACCAACCGGCCCTACAGTGAGGAACACAGAAGCCTTTGTCTCTCTTCCTGCCCTCAAGGTGTGACCCTCTGGGGGGAGAGGGGGCAGTGAACACATGAAGGTGCTTCCAGGGCAGGACAAGTGCGGAGGTGGAGGAAGACGGGGTCAGGGAGAGGGCCGGGTGCAGCAGCTCTAGGGAGGCAGCTCAGGGTAGGGCATCTCTACAGGAGGTCACTCTTGTGCTGTGACTTGAAAGAAGCAAGAGGCCCATGGCAGTGCCAGCGCAGGGGTCCTGAGGCAGGGTGGCGCCTGGCTGTGGCCGGTTTGGGGAACCGAGAAGAGGCTAGTGGAGTGGAGCAGAGGGGAGAAGGATCCTGTCCACACAGCCTTTTGGTCATCAGGATTCTGGCTTTTGTCCTAAATGAAAGAGTTATCAAAGGGGAGGGAAGCTGCGATTTGCCTGCTGGGTGGAGGGAGAAGGCTTTGAGAAGTGGGGTCACTGAAAAGTGGTCCCTAGTTCAGGTGGAGGATAGTGGGGGGCTGGACCACGTGGTCGCCGTGGAGGGGGAGAGGAGGGGCAGGTCCAGGGCCACGGTGTTTCCAGATGCTCATCAAATGAAGGCCCACCAAACAGGTGTGGCTGCGGCCAGCCCCTCCCCGCTGAGGCCCCCAGGCCATGAAGGTGCTGCTCCTCGCGGGGCTGGGGGCCCTGTTCTCTGCCTACTACTGGGACGACAACTTTGAGCCAGGTGAGCGCCCAGGGTGTGGGGAGGGAGGAATCCCGCCGGCTCTGCCCTGCCCCTGCCTGACCCCCCTGCTCACCGCAGCCCGCCTCCAGGGAGCCCGCGTGCTGCTGACCGGGGCTGCGGGCGACGCTGGTGTTGGTGAGGAGCTGGCCTATCACTACGCCCGCCTGGGCTCCCACCTGGTGCTCTCTGCCCAGGCCGAGGCCCTCCTGCAGAAGGTGAGCCACCCCATTTCCAGATGGATGGCTAGGGGCTTGTGAGGAGAAAGAAGACCTAAGTTTGAACTTCTGTAATGGGCTTCCTATGTGACCTTGGGCAAGTCGCCTAACCTCTCTGAGCCAGTTTCCTTATTTGCAAAATGGAGACACAGACCTTCCCTTGGTTTCTGGGTTGCGCTGAGCACAGTGAAGGAGTGGAAAGCAGGAAGTGCCCTTCAGGAAGGGGAGTACTGAGTGTTCCCGCCGTGCGATGGCCAGGGTCTCCAACCCAAAGGCCAGGGGCCCTCCTTAGCAACAGCTGATAGTGCTTGGGGGAACGCTCGAGGGAAGCCAGAAATCGGAAACGTGTGTGGAGTCCCCGGGGACTTGGGTGTCGGTGAGTGGCTCTTTCTAGCCCGCAGTGTGAAGCGTTGAGAAGGGTGCCCTTGGGACCTGAGCTCAGAATAGAGGCGGGGCTTCAGGTGGGATCCTCCGTGTGGGGCGGCTGGGGAGGAGAGGCCCACGGGCAGCTCTGGCCCCCCAGGTGGTGGGGAACTGCCGGAAGCTGGGCGCCCCCAAGGTCTTCTACATCGCCGCGGACATGGCCTCCCCCGAGGCGCCCGAGCGCGTGGTGCAGTTTGCGCTGGACAAGCTGGGTGAGGGGCGGGGCCTGGGGTCTGGAGCAGAGTACCCTGGCCTGAGCCTTAGGGTCGGCGGAACCGCGGTGGGGTGCCGTGGGGGCGGGTGTCTGGGGGCGGAGACTCGCGGAGCCTGGGGCGCAGCCAGGGATGGGGGCTGACCACTAGGGGCGAGGCTCACTACCAGGGGCGAAGACTTGCAGGACGCCAGGAGAGAAATGCTTTGGTCTCCCGGGTGGGGGGTGCTACCTGCCGCGAGGACCTCGGCGCTCCGGACCGAACCCCACCCGTCGCGGGGCGGGGATTCGTACAGCCCAGCGGGCAGGGCCTCGGGCCAGCCCTGCGCTGACCAGCATTTCTGGGCCAGGGGGTCTGGACTACCTCGTGCTGAACCACCTCGGCGGCATTCCGGCCGGCATGCGGGCCCGCAGCGCCCAGGCCACGCACTGGCTCGTGCAGGTGCTCCCCGAAACCGGCGGCCCTGCCCCTTCTCGCCCTGCCCTCCGCCCGAGCGCGCCTATCCCAGCCCAGGGCTCCGCCCCGCGTGCAAAGGCGCTCCTCCCTCCTCGGCTCCTCCCAGGGGAAGTCCGGGCCCCGCCCCTTTGGGTCCTAGGCTCCGCCCCTCCTGGCCTTGGCTCCGCCCTCGTATGGAGCCCGTACCGCTCCACTTGTGTCCTCGGGCCCCGCCCGTCGGGCCGGGCCCCGCCTCTGCCCTGTGACTCGCTGTCGCCGCCTGCAGGTGAACTTCCTGAGTTATGTGCAACTGACTAAGTTGGCGCTGCCCAGCCTGACTGACAGCAAGGGCTCCCTGGTGGTGGTGTCCACGTTGCTCGGTGCGTGAAGGTGGCTCTAGCTCTTGGGGGAGGGGCTTGGAGAGGACGGGCTTCGTGCGGGAGAAGCGGAAGGGCGGGAAGGCTCCCTGGAAGAAGCATCTTGTGGCCCCTCAGCAGCTGCCCTCCTGCACCCCTAGGCCGTGTGCCCGTGTCCTTCTCCACCCCCTACTCAGCGGCCAAGTTCGCGTTGGACAGCTTCTTCGGCTCCCTGCGGAGGGAGCTGGATGTTCAGGACGTGAATGTGGCCATCACCATGTGCGTCCTGGGCCTCCGGGATCCGGCCTCCACTGTGGAGGGAGTCAGGTGAGGCCTGGGTGTGAGCAGGGAACCATCGGTTGCATGCCGTGGGAACCCACCGCAGTCCCTACCATCTCCCTCCCTAGGGGCGTCAGGAGAGCCAAGGCGGCCCCGGGACCCAAGGCAGCCCTGGCTGTGATCCGAGGTGGTGCTACACGAGCCTCCTGTGTCTTCTACCCGTGGCGCTTGCACCTGCTCTGTCTGCTGCGAGGCTGGCTGCCGCACCCGAGGGCCTGGTTCATTCGCCAGGACCTCAACATCTCTGCAGTTGCAGCCTGAGTCCCCTGGGGCTCCTGTCTTCCCAGACGGGAGGTACCATCCAGCTGTTCCTGGAGTCGGGACACTAACAAAGACACCTCCGAGAGGGTGGCCTGAGTCCAAGATGGAGTCATCAGGGCAAAAGCCAAACAGAAGAATATCTGCAGGCACCTGGAAACAAACTGCAGGTGTTCGCACCCCCTCAGTCTTGAAAGGCACAGCCCAGACTTGAGGTTCTTGGAGGTCACTGGTGACATGATCATTGCTTCCACTGTGCAAATAAGAAACAGTCTCCAGAAAAGTGATGCTCCCTCCCCAGGTCGCCTGAGGTGGATGCCCTGAGTCACCTCTGGGAGCGTCTAAGTCTCAGTTGATTCTTTCCACTGATTCCAACTGGGAGCATTTCCCACCCCCACCTAGGGTCTCTGGTACTCTTGACACCTGCGGTCCACCTGATGGCCAGGTGGGAGGAAGAGGACAAGAGCATATTCTGGGCTAGACTCAGCCTCCCGTCTCATAATAAAAGGTCTTCCCTTGCTTATGTATCTATATCTATTATTCAAATTCCTTTTGCCTTCCAATTTCTAGGAGCCGGGAGAGGGGCTAGAACTATCAAGGTGTTTTGTAGGTGGAGAAATGGAGACAGACAGGATGGGCTCCCCTCAGGAAGTCAGTGGGAGAGGCAGGGGCACTGATGGACCTGCAGGACTTGGTTGCAGCGTCAGCAATAGTGTAACCGGGCCCCACGCCCTTGAGGTCAAGGATCTTAGGCCTCGCTGTTGGAGTTTGGTCTTACAGTTGTTCCCATTCTCAGGATGACGCTGTAGCTTAGGGAGGTTGGGCTAATGAGGGCCACAGCTGCACATCTGTCAATTACAAAGTGGAAAGCCAGTGCTGCTGGTCTAAAGCAATTGTAAAAAGTAACTGGCACGGATACAATGTTACAAAAAGCTGCTACTGTGGGCTGTCCAGGGCTCTGTCCAGGAAAGACTGTCCTCGTCACACCAGACCCAGACTGAGGCTGTCTCTTAGAGACAAGCAAGATTGACAGAAGAAGGGGTAAAAGGGGCGCGGAAATTGGAACTTTCAGATCTTGTTTCCACCACCTGATTCAAGGTTGTTCAGCAGGCATCCCTCGGCCTGGCATCCCGGCACGACCTTGCGTCACGTCAAATGCCACCAGGAGGCACTGTGACCACTCCCTTCATGAAATCAATAAACCCGTTGATGGAGGTTTTTTCGTGCCACCTTACATATGGAAAAACTGGGGGGCCTGGGAGGTGAAGTTGCTGTGTCCGGGTTAACCAACAAGCTGCAGCTTGGAACTCAGCGGCCTTTGAGGCCCCACAACCACGTCCGCTGGTCCCGGGGTCAACGCGCATGCTCAGGGAGCCTCCGGACGCCAGGGGGCGCGCGCGTGGTTCTTGCCTCTCTGGTACGCGCCTCCGGCAGCGAGTAGATATCCCAGAGTTCCGTGTGGCGCCGGCCCTTCCGCTCCGGGAGCCATTGGAGAGCAGCAGGTGAGTTCGTTCGCGCCTGACTCTTCATCCTTCGCCATCCGGGCCCCGAGGCCCGCTGGGCGGGTTGCAGGGTGGCTGGGCTCGGCGAGCGTGCCCGAGGAAGCCGCGGCGCGGGGTGGCGGGCGCCTTGCCGGGACTCACCCCAGCCCTTCTCCCCACCGCCTCCCGCAGCCATGGCTCTGCGCTACCCCATGGCCGTAGGCCTCAACAAGGGCCACAAGGTGACCAAGAACGTGAGCAAGCCGAGGCACAGCCGCCGCCGCGGGGTGAGTGCTGGGAGCGGCGGGGCCTTCCGGGCAGAGGCGCGAGCCCTGGCGGACCGCGTCGGCGCGAGGCTCGGGTGTGTGTGCCACGGGCGTGGGCCCTGGGCCGGGGACCGCCGTCCCGTGTCGCGACACTGTGGACGGCAGCCGCGGGCAGGCAGGGTGGGGGCTGGAGTGCGGACCCGCCCTGACGGCCGCCCTGCCCCCAGCGCCTGACCAAGCACACCAAGTTCGTGCGGGACATGATCCGGGAGGTGTGTGGCTTCGCCCCCTACGAGCGTCGGGCCATGGAGCTGCTCAAGGTCTCCAAGGACAAACGGGCCCTCAAGTTCATCAAGAAAAGGGTAGGTGGGCTGCTAACCGGGGAACGCCGCGAGGGGACCCGGGGCGCAGGCTGATGGGTGGCCTTCTTGCCGCACAGGTGGGAACACACATCCGGGCCAAGAGAAAGCGAGAGGAGCTGAGCAACGTCCTGGCCGCCATGAGAAAGGCAGCTGCCAAGAAGGACTGAGCCCCCTTTCCTCAATAAACCATCCCAGAAAACCATGGCTCCTGCGTCCTCCTTGTGGGGGGTCATCTGCTGGGGACTTACATGCCCTGGGGCAGGCAGCTGACACAGAAGCAGGGAGCCAAGTGGTCCTGGAAATGCTCTTTAATCATGATGGCACCAGTCTCCATGATCAAGCTATAATTGAGGACCTGGCACCCAGGTCCCCTGGCTAAGCCAATGGGTGGGTGGCTTTGCCGCCAGGCCCAGCGTCGTTCCCCAAGCGTACAGTTCAGTCCAGGCTGGGCCTGCTGCCATCACCGCTCCACAGCCAGGGCCTCGGCCTGCTGCCCAGGGCAGGAGAAGGCGATGTCGAAAACCTCCCGGTAGTGCTCCACGAAGTGCACCTCCAGGCCCTCGGTGATGAAGGCCGCCAGGTCGTGAAAGTCCTTCCTGTTCTCCGCTGGCAGGATGATGCACGTCACCCCAGCGCGCTTGGCCTGGAAACAAGGATGTTGAGTGCCAGGTTCAGGACCCTGGGCCCCCCACAGCCTAGGGAGGTGGTGGTCCCTTGTTTCTGGATCATCGGGACACACCCATACCCCCTGCTCCACACCAGCCCCACCTCATGATACCTGGGGCAGGGGTGCCAATGGGAGACCCCACACCAATAGGGACTATCTTAAACAGGGCTGGAGGAGCAGCTGGGACAGGCAGCTCAAGTTGGGCTCTGGGTCCAGGAGGCCAGCCTGCCCAATAGGTGTGATGGCCTGTCCCGTGGAGGGTCTGGGAACTCACTGCAATCGTCTTCTCCTTAATGCCACCAACGGGCAGGATCTTCCCTGTGAGGGAAACTTCACCAGTCATGGCGAGGTTCTGCCGGACAGGCTGACCCATGGCCAAGGACAGCAGGGCCGTGACGATGGTGCAGCCAGCACTAGGGCCGTCCTTGGGGGTGGCACCCTGGTGGGAGACATAGGTGGGCAAGTGGCCACTGTTGAGGGTGGCAGGAGGGGTCTTGGGGTGGTAGAGGGGAGAGCTCACCTCAGGCACATGCAAGTGGATGTGGGAGGTGACCAGGTACCCATTGCTGGGGTCCTGCTGCATCAGGAAGGCCCTGGCGAAGGTGTAGGCAATGCGTGCGCTCTCCTTCATCACCTCCCCCAGCTGGCCCGTCACCTCCAGACTGCCATCCTGGTCCTCCTTATTGCCCTTGAATGGTGGCCGCCTCAGGGACGTTTCAATAAACAAGGTGGATCCTCCTGGAGGAGGGGGTAGAGCCTGTGACCACCAATGGGTCCTGAAAACCTGCCTCTGCCGCCTACTGCTTCCAGGAAGGCAGGTCATGGGTGGCCCAGAGCTCACCTCTGCAGAGCACTAACAGTGGACCCAGCCTGAGCAAGCAGGGTCCTGTCCTCGTCACTGGGAACCTCCTTTGCACAGCCCAGAACCTGCACCCACCCGTGGCCAACCCGGCCCTCTCTGCCCAGGGTTATGAAGACTTCCCCCCCCAGTAACCAGTGCTGCCCTCAGCTGGCACCCACAGGCTGCCCTGCTGCCAAGTATAGCCCACTCCCCAGCTCCCTGCCCTTAGGTCAGGGTGGGCTCAGACTGGGGGCCGCCCCCATCCTTCCAGGTGTCACCACACTGCTGGCTGCCACACCTGTTTTCTTGCTTAGCTCAGAATCCCTGGGCTTCATTCCACATGGTCCCTCAGGGGAAGGTGTTCAAAGGGATGGTGAGCTACAAGCCCTTGCAGCCCTGGGGTCCAGCTCACCCATGGCGGTCCAGGCCAGGCCCATGACCACACCCGGCGGCGTCACATCGTACATGCGCTCCACTGTGAACACGGGCTTCCCCACAAAGTCCTGCAAGTTCTCAGGGGTCACCTCCACAGACTCAGCCTCACCGCTGACAATCTTGTAGGCCGACTTCCGCAGCACCTGTGTGGACAGCGGGGTGCAGGTGGGCGGCGCGGGGTGGAGGGGCAGAGCGGGGCAGGAGCAGGGCCAGTGGGCAGAGTCGCTGCTCACCTTCTCTACCTGCTTCTGTAGGTTGCGGACGCCACTCTCCCGGCAGTACTGCTTGATGAGCAGGGTCAGCACATCTGAGGACAGCCTGGCCTTGCTCTCGTCCAGGCCACACAGGGTGCGGGCCTGAGGCACCAGGTACCTCTACAGGAGGAGTGCTGTCAGGGCCCAGAGTGGCCCAGGACCTCAGGCCCCACCTACCCACCTGGGGCCTGGCTGGCAGATGAGACCAGCAGGCACTAGCAAGCGAGGTTGCAGGTGCCTGGCCCTGCAGAGGTCACATGCCCCCGTCCTGCCCTTCTTATGCTACTGCATCAACACAGACCCTCTTGCTGTCCCAGTCACCCTGTGTGCCACTCCCTACAGGAAAGCCCCTGGGTCCCCTGGGGTCACCCCACCACTAGACTTGAGTGTGTGAGGCTGCTGACTGCCCACCTCAGCGAACAGGAAGATGGGGTCACAGGTTCCAAGGTCACCCAGAGCCCAGCACGGCTCCTGTCACCCAGTGGCCCTAAGCTCTGGCAGTGTGGCCTAAGACATCTGAGACACAGGGCCAGAGCCACATTCATCTCCCCGGGGGTTGGTCCCTAGACTCCTGAGAGTCCTGTGCTGTCCTCCAGCCCCAGACACTGAAGGCTCAGCAGGGCAGGGGGAGGACACTGGGGGTGGGGAGGGGAGAGGCCCCGCAGCCTTTCCAGAAAGCAACTGGAGATCCTGCTGCAGGTGGAATCAGGCGCCTCAGAGGCCACTGTGCCGCTGGGGACCACCCAATCTAGGCTACCAAAGCACCCAGGCCTGGGCCAGAATTCCCAGCGTGACACCAAGAGCAAGTGAGCACACTTCCTGCACCCAGTGCATGTCTCTGGCAGGCAGGCATCTCAGTGTGACTTCAGGGAGGGGACGCTAGAGTGGCTCCCGCCACCGCACAGCGTGACCCTGAGGCAGGAGAGTGCTCCAAGGACACCTGTGCCTGAATTCCTTTCTTGCTTTCTGGCCTCATCTACCTTCCACTGCGCAGTCCACAGTGCCCCTCTGCAGGGCCACATCCGCCCTGCAGTCGCGTGAGTAGACTTCTGCAAAGCGGGCCACTGCAGGCACCAGGCCCAGCAGCTGGCGGCACTGAGGTGGGTTTGCAGAGCCGAGACCCAAGCAAGGCAGCTCCTGCCTCTGGGCCGGAGGCAGCAGGGACAGCTGGCCCTCACCTCCGCAATGGCCAGTTTCTCCTGGGCCACGTAGCCAGACACGTTGATCATCTCCATGCGGTCCCTCAGCGGCTCGGGGATGGTCTCAGTGACGTTGGCCGTGCAGATGAACAGCACCTGGGGAAGGTGGTCAGGTGCTGCCACTCCAGGGGGCCTGGCCAGCCCCCGCCCCTCGAGCCCCAGGCAGCAGGACACGCACCTTGGACAGGTCCACGGGCACGTCCAGGTAGTGGTCCAGGAAGTTGGCATTCTGCTCCGGGTCCAGCAGCTCCAGCAGTGCTGAGGAGGGGTCCCCCTGGTAACCCCGGCCTATCTTGTCCACCTGGAGTGGCAGAAGGCAGGTGGCACTGGCACTCTGCCCCACTCCTGTGCCACTCAGGACAGCAAGGGGCAAGAGGGACACCTTCCCTCTATCAGAGCCAGTGTCACTGAGACGGTCCCAGTAGGGTGGATCCCCCACAGTGACAGCACTCCCTGGTCTGGGCACCCTGCGGCGTGTGTGCCAGGGAGTGAAGGGTGGGCCGCAGCACGGCCGGGGCGGCTGGAGGGCGAAGCCCGGCACACACCTCGTCTATCAGGACCAGGGGGTTCTCCGTCTTGGTCTTCTTCAAGCACTGGATGATCTTCCCGGGCATGGCCCCCACGTAGGTCCGCCTACAGCGGGGGGCACGGCTGGGTCAGGAGACCAGGAAGGCCCCAGGGCCTCAGCACACCCTGCACTCCAGCAATGAGGAA